TCTACGCGGTGTGTTGGACTCCGAGGATTTAACAACCTAGTGCTCTGATACCAAGCTTGTCACGACCTAAGCCTAGGGCCTAGACGTGACATGGCGAATGAGGAACCTGAAGGAACCCCAAACAAGCCTCTCAAACTTGTCATCACACTTCATCGGTCGGGAAAGTACTTTCAACATTAATTAACGGGAAATAGGGACTAAGGGCAAACCATTTCAAAATGACCTCATAGAACAAGAGTCAAGCTCATTTACAAAATGCTTGTCCAACGCACGCCTCTACATACATAGATAGGACGGGGCCATGATATACTACCGACTCCCCTCATAGTCAAAATACAATTGCAAGCTAAAGCCTCAAAACATAGGAGTAGGAAACATAACATAGCCCTCGAATCATTGAGGACTCACCAACAACTCGGATAAGCACCGTACTGGCCACGTGAATGGAGAAAAGGATCAAGAGTAGCTCCGGTCCCTACATGGTGACATCATGTAGGCAAAATATGCGTTAGTACTTGGAATGTACTAAGTATGCGGGGTGCAACACAACAATAGACAAGGACACAATCGAAATACAAGAAATAGTTTCATAGGCATTATGAATAACAATATGAGGATGCATGATCAAAGTGAAGTCAAAACATGTTTAAGTAAATCTATACTAATAGTAGATATCATATGTGTATGTATGATCCAACCAATCTATAACCCTAACTTAGGATGAGGGATGCCGTTCACACCCGGACACCCTGGTGGCAAGGTATAAACCCCTCACATGGTTGATGTTGGTCACACCCCAAGCATCCTAGGTGGTGAGATATAAACCTCTCACATGGTTGATGTTGGTCATACCCCAAGCATCCTAGGTGGTGAGATATAAACCTCTCACATGGTTGTCCGGTTCTTTTCCCCCGGACCGGGCATGGTCATGCAACACTTTATATAGGAAATTCCCATTAGGCTCTAATGCAATCTCACGTATGGAATGAACATATACACAAGCTTAGTTTGTCATCAACACATCTCTGGATTTCCATACATCTCATAACTCAAGCTTTAAAACATCGATTCATCAATTCTCCATAGTTGGACATTTTGTCAAACACCTTGAAGGCATGTAATGGAATCAAAGAGCATGGAAAATAGGGTAATAATTATGCAGCCAAACCAGTGAACAACCTACAACAACACCTTTTTAACACCCACAATACCACATGAAAATCTCCACATCCATTCCAAATTTAGATTCAAGTTCTAGAGTCACAACATGCTCAAAACAATCACTTTTCATGTTTAAAATTCAATGTGCAGGAAATTATTACAAAGAACAAGACTAATTTATAAATCTTAACTTAAACCATGAATTAGTGAGTAGAATAGAGTCTAGGCACTATGAGTGGAAGGACCCATGAGTTCAACACCACATACCTTGAGTTCTTATGAAGGTCTTGAGAGTGTCTTCAATGGAAGCTTGGAACTTGGAGCAAGAGTCTCTTCAATCTTGAGGAAGGTTTTGGATTAGGGTTCTTGAGAGAACTTGAGAGAAAATGTGTCTAAGTATGGGAGAGGTGTTTTGGGAAATGTTTTAGAGATGGGAATTGAACTAATGGTATATAGGAAATAACATATGCCCTTTGGAAGAATGGTCCAACACTTAGAAAAAAAAATGAGGCGGGTGAACAGTAAAAATGCTCATTGGAAATTGCCTTTTCTGCCGGACAGATTTTACGAAAATGAGCATAACTTCTTCGTCCGAACTCTGAATGAGGTGAAACGAAGTGCGTTAGGTAGCTAACTCTAATGGCTTTCCATGGATATGTTATTGGCCACCCAATAATTTGTGTGCTAGGAGATATGACCCTCCAAAGTAGACCCTCGAAAAAGGCTTCACTTGGAAATTTCGGATTTTGATACGGTTGCTCTAAAATTTGGGTTAGACCCATTTCCCACTCAATTTGACCCCCTAAACATGAATATGAAGTCGGATTTTCAAAAAACGAAACAGATTTTTTTTTATATAGATAAACAAGTTTCCGGTAACTTGCGAAGCACATTTTTAAGAACCTTTTGGGTCATTTCGGCCATATGGCTTTGTTGATGATGCTCTTCGGGCCTTTATGTCTAATAATTTCCCAAGCTGATGAGCAAGAGAATAGACCATCGACAGTGAGTTTCCAGATTGCCTTGTCAGGGATCTGTTCTTAATAATGAATGGGGAAGCTAAAGATTTTTGGGACCAAAAGAGGGGGCACCCATTGCCTCACCATAGTCTCATTCCTTGTTCCCCCTACCAGAAATTGAGAAATTTTGGTGGTGTTAAGACTAGTAACATGAGTGCAATAAGAGGCTAGGGGGCCTTCTCCCAACCAACCATCCCACCAAAAGGAGGTATTACCCGAATTGATCTTCCATTTGATTTGAGTCTCGAAAATACCTTTGTTCCTCATCATAAAGTTCCAGATCAAGGATTGTCCTGTATCTAGCTTTTTGTCCACCGGATGAGCCCTTTGACAATATTTAGCTCTAAGAAACTGCCCCCATAATGTTAGTTTACTTCTGAAAATCCACCATTGCTTAATTTGAAGAGAGGTGCAAATATCTTTAAGTTTTCTTACTCCAATACCTCCTTCGTCATAAGGTAGACTCAATTTATCCCAAGAAGCCCAATGATATTTCCTTTTTTCCTTATCCCAGCCCCAAAAGAAATCATCTATAGCTTGCTTCATATATCTTATGGTGGTTTTAGGAGGAGAAATAGCTGACATAGTATGTATGGGGATTGATTGGAGAACATGTTTCACCATAGTGGCTTTGCCCCCAAAGCTTAACATTCTAGATTGCCATCCGGAAATTTTCCTTGTAATTTTAGCCACCAAATCAGAGTAATAAATAATTCTCTGGCCTCCAATGTATAGTGGACAGCCAAGGTAAGTAATAGGGCTAACTTTCTGATTGAAACCAGTGACTTCTCTGATCATTGCAATGTTCTCTTGAGGAGTATTTTCTGGAACCATGAAGTGACTTTTTTCCTTGTTTATAAGCTAGTCAGATACTAATTCATAAGTGGAAAGAGTCTTCATGATCATCTGAAGGGTATCCCTGGTAGTGGAGGAGAAACTGATGATGTCGTCTGCAAAACTTAGGTGATTAATTTGAGGTCCCCTGATCTCCATCTGAAAGTTTTTGTATCTCCGATGATGATGAAGCATATTGAGCATCCTAGAGAGTATTTCAGATCCTAAAATAAATAGGGATGGGATAGTGGATCTCCCTGTTTGAGCCCTCTGGTGAAATGAAAGAAACCATGTCTAACACCATTAATAATCACAGAGTACCAATTGTTGCTCATAGTTCTCCATACTAGATCAATAAACATTTCTCCAAAACCCATTCTTCTCAGAACTAAACAAGTGTAAGACCAAGACACTCTATCGTATGCCTTGGTCATATCTAGATTAATTACCACATTGTCACCTTCATTGGGTTTTTTAATGCCATGAGTGATTTCCTGAGCAAGCATAATATTCTCAGATATGCTCCGTCCCTTAACAAAGCCAGATTGGTTTTCAGAAATAAACTGAGGTAAAATAGGGGCTAGTCTGAGACATAACAGCTTGGAGATAATTTTATTGGAAAAATTACTCAAACTGATGGCTCTGAATTCATTGAACTTGTTGGGGTGCTCAACTTTAGGAAGTAATACCAAACAAGCATGAGACATAAACTTAGGCATAGTATATCCACAGAAGAAATATTGGACAGCACTCAACACATCTTCTTTGATAATTTCCTAGCAATGTTGATAAAATTTTCCTCCAAAACCATCTGGACCAGCAGCAGAATTTGGGTTCATGGAGAACACGACTTGAGTCAATTCTTCCTGAGTAGGCATCTGGTGGAGTGTCTGATTTTGTTCTTCTGTTACCATTCTAGGGATGCAGTGAAGAATTTCTTCCCTGATCCTGTCATCATGACCTGAGAACATGTTTTGGAAGTAGTCATAGGAAACCTTAGCAATGTTTTCTTCCCCTTGTATCCAAGTATCTTCAGCAGTACAGATCTTGTGGATGAATAGCTTTCTCCTCCTACCCCTCATTATGGAGTATAAATATTTAGAATTAGTATCTCCTTCCTTGAACCATTGGAGTTGAGTTTTCTGTTTGAGGATGGAAGCTTCCAATTTAAGATACTTGATATATTGAGCATTAATAAGATGAAGCTTGGATCTATTTTCTTCAGTGTTTTGATGTATGACATCTTCTTCAGCAGCTTTGACTTGCTCCTCAAAATTAATAACATTAGAGAAAATATTGCCATATTCCTTCTTGGACCAAGTACTTAAAGTGGAAGCTAATAATTTCATCTTTTGATGCAGTCGCCACATAGGATTCCCAAAGATCTAGTTCTGCCAACACCCTTTAACAATATCTAAAAAATTTGCATTTTCTGTCCAGCAGTGAAGGATTTTAAAATACTTGACTCTGTTTTCAGATCGAGCTTCCATTTCCATGAGTAGTGGACAGTGATCAGAACCAACAGAAGGGAGGTGAGTGATGGTAGTTTGGGGCATGAGCTCCAGCCACTTATCATTGACCATAGCTCTGTCCAGCCTTTTCCACACTCTGGCCTCTGCTGCCCTCTGATTACACCATGTATAATGTTGACCACTATACCCAATATCCATTAATCCGCTTGCCTCAATAATGCTAATGAAATCTAGACTTTTGTTCATATTGTAAGGTATACCTCCATACTTTTCCTCAGTAGATGTAATAACATTAAAATCCCCTATGGTACACGAAGGGGTATCCATGTTAGAAAAGTGGAACAATCTGTCCCAGAGAGGTCTTCTCAGCTGCTCTCTGCATTTGGCATAAATGCAAGAAATCACAAACTTTTCTTTGTGCTCTACATGCTTCATAGAACACGTGATGTGTTGATCATGTATTTCCAATACTTCACCTTCAATGTCATTGCTCCAAAACAGCCAAATTTTGCCATTGTGATTACAAGTAACATTGTCCATAGATAACAAGAGTTTGTATTGATTGATTTGGGAGTTGTTGGCAAAAGGTTCAAGAATAGCTATTATAGAAAGATTATGTATTTTCTTGAAATTTTGGAGTATTTCTAAAGAACCTTGGGTGTTGATGCTCCTAGCATTCCAACATATTGTACTAATCATTAAAAACCTTTGCTCTTGGACCTAGTGTTAGGCCTGCTAGAGTTAGCAGATGTACTGATAGATGCTAATTTTATGAGCTACCTGACTTGTTTTCTACCCCTTGGAGATAGGCCTTGTTGATCTGCCATTTCTTGAATCTCTACTTGGAATTCACTTCGAAAAGTAGACCCAAAAGCCTTGATCAAATGAGCACTGGTTTCATCCCCTTCCTCATCATCATCAGTTTTCTTGAGAGATTGAGTGTCTTCATCAAATTCATCCTCTGAATTTACCACATCATAATCTGATTTCTGTCTATTGTTTCTTTGATTTTCAACCTCCTTCTGTTGTTTTCTCTTGATAGATTCTCTTTTTTTCTTGCTCAATTTACCTCTAGATTTATTATTGGATACTTTCCCTGGGGAATTCTTGCTGTGTTGTTGGTGCTATTCTCGAGGCTAGTCTGATTCCGTTCATCATTCTGGTTGGTATCAGGAGTGTGCGGATCATCATTACCTCTTGAACTCTGCAATTTCTGACCATTATCCCTGTCAACCTGTGAGCCTTGTTCTACTTGAAGGTGACCAGTATCATCATCTTGCAGAGGTTCCAAGTTCTCTATATTCTGTATCCCTGGTTCTTCCTGCAGCTGACCACTATCATCTCCTTTATTTGGGCTGGGCTGTTTCTGATTACTCTGCTTGTTGTGTCTTGCAATAGTGGTAGCAGGGGTTCTATAGTCCAACCTAGGGTCAGTGTGATCAACCTCATGCAGAACATGAGTCAAATTCCCCCCTTTGGATACCCCTTCCTGCAAGTTAATAGGTTTCTCCTTACATCCCCCATCCATCCCTCCTTCAGCTTCATCAGCACACATAACAGTATTCACAGAACTTATAGTGAGGTGTTGAGTTGTAGGGATAACAGAGTCCATACCTGTGTTTTTACTGTTTGTATTATGTTCCTTGTGCATACCTGCTTTGTTGTTGTGGTTGAAAGAGGGTGAGTCTTTATCTGACCCTTGTGTTGTTTGCATATCTTGGTCTGAAATTTTGTTCTTGTTGCATTCTGCACTATTGCCTATGCTTTGCTGCTCCTGCATTTCTAAATTAATGTAGTTATTATGAATAGAGATAGTAGGAGTTATACCTGGTACTGCTGAAGCCTTTTGCATAATATCCTTAGTATTTTTTGGTGGAGGTGAGACAGGTCTCCATGCAGTTTTGGGTTGAGCCTGATCCTGATTTCTGTGTTGTTTCCTCTTCTGAGTCTGCCATTGCTCTGCTTGGTCTACTTGTTCCAGCTCTTGGTGTGTCTGTACTCTAGTAGCAGCTGTCTGTTGTTGCCTTGTATGTTGAATCACTATCACTTGTTGATCGTGTGTCTTAGTGTTTGTCTCTGTTTTGTCCTTGTCTTGTGTCTGCATTACTTTAGTACTTCCTTTCTCTAGATCACCCTTAGGTTTGTTTTGTTTTTCAGCTTCCATTTCTCTCCTCTTTTTGAAGTCCTCATCTCTTCTATTGATAGTACACACATTATCTATATGCCCTTGATGTTTACAGTACATGCAGTAGTCTGGGATCCCTTCATATTGCACCTTTTGCCACCTTCCTTTATTGGGGTCTGAGTTCTTAAATCCCACCCAAACATGGGGTGGTCGTGGCTTGGTGAGATCGATTTAGATCTTCACTCTGGCCATGCTGCCTCTAGTCTTTTGAGCAGTGGGAGAATCAAGGTATAACACTTTACCATAGAACTCAGCATAGTCGTCAAGAGGACTTTGTTGTAGCAGTGCCATGGGAGTTCAGGCAGTGCTACCCATATAGGAACTATAGGTGTTTCTTCCTCAGGGGTAAATTCAGGGGTCCAGGTTTGTATTCTCATTAGTTGGCCATCAATGCTCATTCTTTGCTTAGTCCAAACCGTAACATAATCAAACTCATTATCCAAATCAATATAAACATGTCGAGAATTATAATGAGCTATTTTAACTCCCCCAGATAACTGAGTCTGAAGTATGAAACTTTTCCTAATCACCTCCATTTTAGGCATGGAATTGGTAAATTTACCCACTAGAGTGTATTCACAGCTTTCCGCCAATTTGATATTATAATCTTCTTCTTCTAATAACACAGCCGGCAGTCCTTGTCTATTGGTATGAATAGGATTATTCAATTCAATAGGGGTTTCAGCCTTAGATTGATTATATCTAAGCTTAGCAGCAAAAGATTGAATTATAGTAAAAGGGGCAGGTTCCGGGGTGTTGTCCTGTTTATTCTTATTGGGAGCTTAAGGATGGTGCTGATTGTTTAGTTGTCCCTCAACACCTTGATTATAAGTATGATTATCCTGACTAACAACATTCTTATTTTTTTGGAGATTAGGATCATACCTGGTGTAATTGTTGGAGATTCTAGGAAAGTTTTGTTGATAGTGCATGTTGGCCTTTTCCTTGCTATTCTGAGATGCATCAGTCGATTCATGCTGAGTAATGGCCTTACTTTGATCTTTTTTACTATCCTTTCCTCCACGATTTTGGTTATCGACCTGTTTCGAGAATTCACTCTGCCTACTGCTCTGTACTTTCATTTCATTTTGTATTTTCCCATTCCTTTGTTGCTGATTATCTTTGTTCCTTTCTGTTATTTTGTGCTGATCTGATATGTCCTGTGGTTCTGTGATTTGTTCCTGATGCCCTTGACCTGGTTCTTGAGCCTTTTTTTGTTGATCCTTATCAGGTTCATCAACTCATTTGTTCGGTATTGCTGTGACCTGCATTGCATCAGGTGAAAGAGGTGATGTTAAGTTCCTGGAATTACCTACAATACCAAAGGAAAAATTGGAAGATTGGGCCTCATTAGATTGATTTGTGTCATATTGTTTGCTAGGATTATGTGTTTCCATTGCAGCAATTTCCTCTTCAATATGCTGAGTGGCCTGGAATTTCCTTCTGTTCACTATCATTGGATCATCAGTAAGAGTATCCATTGATTGCCTTGGATTGGTGTTTCTGATGTTTCCTCCATTGACATTGTTGGGTATGTCTGAAAGATGGATGTCCGTGGGAGGAGAATTAATTCCTCTATCTGAAGTTCCATGAACTCCGGCGATTTGACCTCGAGTTTCACCGGAATCTTCCTCGCCGATGATTCCACCGTCCATTTCACTCGAAATTTCAGTGAGATGAACCTCTATTTGTGGGGAGTAATCCCCAGTATTGAATCTGCAAGAACTTGACTCAAAGATCGTTGAATTTGAGTGCGCACTTCTGGCGATTTATTTGCGTTTCTCTCCAAGTTCGGCTCGCGAATTCTCTCGATTGGGATGATAGAATCAGTTGGGTTTTTGGTCGAATATAGATCGCGATTAGGAGATTTCATAACAGTAATCGATTTTCCATGAATCGAAACATGAACCTTTGGGGAAATGCTTTTACGAATTTCGTCCAGCTCCCTCTCCGAAATCGCAGTGTTGATCGCGTCAGTATTTTGTGAATTCGAGGAGCTGTAGGATGAATTATGGGGCGTGGCTATATGGGTTTTGTTGCTCTTGCCATGGCACTTCAGCTGGTCTTCGTCTGGTGGCCAGGAGAGCTCCACCGGTGGCTCACGCGCCATTCAGGCAGTGCGTGTATCAGGTGTGAATATAGTTGTTACGGGCAAAATTTTGAGCGCTATTTTTAGATAGAGAAATTAGAGAGAGAAAAAATTCATCAAATGAAGATGCGATACAGTTTAGGGTTTAGGGTATGGGTTTTAGGGTTTTGGGTTTAGGGTTTTGGGTTTGGGGTTTGGATTTAGGGTTTAGGGTATTGGGTTTATGGTTTAGGGTTTAACATTTAGTGTTTAGGGTTTATGGTATGGGGTTTAGGGATTAGTGTTTAGGGTTTGGGGTATATGGTTTAGGGTTTATGGTATGAGGTTTAGTGTTTGGTGTTTAAGGTATAGGGTTTTGGGTATAGGATATAGGGTATACGGTTTTGGGTTTAGGTTTTAGGTTTTAGGATTAGGGTTTAGGGTTGAGGATTTATGGTTTAGGGTTTAGGATTTACGATTTAGGATTTAAGGTTTAGTGCTGAGGTTTTGTGGTTTGGGGTTTGTGGTTTGGGTTTGGGTTTGGGTAATTAGGTTTAGCGTTTAGGGTTTTGGTTTAGGATTTTAGGGTTTTTTTTTATATTTTTTATTTGAATAACCCTTGGA